CTGTCTCTTAGACAGGTAAACCTTCATGGTTTTCCACTTGTCACAGTCTTCCAGGTACAGTATGACCCATTAACCTGACCCTTTGAACCCAATCATCTAGCAAGTTTTCTACCCATCTAGTTGTCCACCCATACAGGCTGTAGTATTCTAACATTGATACATGGATGTTGTGGTAGAGAGTGTGGAAGCCCTGCCAATATCAAGGTAAATGATACCACTGTTCTCCCTTGTCTAAAAATCTAGCGATTTTGTCATAGAAGGCAATAAGGTTGGTCTGGCATGGTAAATCTATGCTGACTGTTCTTAGTCACCACCTTCTACTTTACATGGCCAGAAGTGTGTTCCAAAAGGACTTGCTCCATGATTTTCCCAGGGACAGAAGTGAGGCTGACTAGCCTATAGCACCCTAGCTTTTTTGAATTTTTTTGAAGATGGGAGTGACATTTGCTTTTCTCCAGGCATCAGTGACCTTCCTCAATCTCCATGACCCTTCAGAGATGACAGAGAGAAGACTGGCAAAGACAACAGCCTTGCAAGGACTTTCAGTACCACCGAGGCACCCTACCACGTACGACAGACTTGTATGGGTCAAGTTCTCTCATGTTAGACCTGACTCAGTCTTCATCCACTGCTGGTAATTCTCCTCTTGAACACTTTCACTAAGCAGATCTTGTAGGCTTCAGAGATCTTGTAGGTGAAGACTGAGACAAAGAAGTCATTGAGTACATCAGCCTTATTTGTCACTACATCATACACCCCAACCAGCAACAGGCCCACGTTTTTCCTTGTTCAGCCTTTTACTACTAACGAAGTGGCAGAAGCTCTTCTTGTTGCCCTTGATGGCTCTTCCAAGTCTCAACTGCACTTGAGCCTTGGCCTTCCTGACACCATCCCTACCATACCCAGGCAATGTTTCTAAATTCATCCTTACTAGCCTCTTCCTGCTCCCATCTCCTGCATACTTTCTTTTTGCATTGGAGCTCCACCATAAGTTCCCTGATTAGCCAAACCAGTCTCCTGACATATCTACCTTTTCCTTGAGTAGTAGAATGATCCATTCTTGTGCTTGGAGCATGCTGTCTTTACAGGTCTGCTAGCTTTTCTGAGCTCCTTTAATCTTCAAAGCTGTCTCCAATGTGATCCCATCTATCAATTTCCCAAATAAATTGAAAACTATTCTCCTACAGTCTGTACTCTGTTACTCTCCTTCCTTACCTCTTCAGGATCTTGAACTCCACTATTTCATGGTCACTATAGCCAAGGCTGCCGTTACTTACCACATCCTAAAACAACACTTCCTTTTTAGTGAATAGCAGATTCAGCTATGTGTCACCCCTGTTGGTCTATCCTGTATCAAAAGTTATCCCAAACACCCTCCAGAAATCATCTTGACTGCATGCATCCTGCCTTGTTGCACACCCAGCAGATGTCAGGAAGGCTAAAGTCCCCCATGAGAACTAGGGTTTCTGATGCAGAGACTTCCTCAAGTTTTTTAAAGAATGCTTCTTTCTTTCCATCACCCTGATTAGGTGGTCTGCAACCAACTCTCACCATTTTGTCACCCTTATTGGTCTCTCCTCTCATCCATACCCATAAACTATCTGCCAGACTGTCTAGAGTTCCACTGAAGAGCTTCACAGACCTAAGCTGCTCCTTCCCAAAGAGGGCAATACTCCCTCTTCACTTTCCCTGCCTGTCCTTTTCTGAAGAACTTGTACCTGTTCATCACAGCACTCAGTCATGCAGGCTATCTGAGCAAATCTTATTTATTCCAATGATATTTGTATTTTAGTGATCGCACATGGAGCACATGTGCATGTTCCTCGTGGTTGTTTCTCAGGCTGCAGGCATCTGTGTACATATTCAGCTGAGCTGAGTGTTCTTGTTTTCTCTCTCCTGTTCTCACTACCCTGTACCCTTTGCTTTTGACCTTCCCCATCACTACCTCACTTAATTGTGGATAATAGTCTCCCTCCCACATCATTCCTAAAGAGCTCTTTTAACATTCCCTTACACAGCCAACACTGTAGATATGTCTAGCTCTTAAGAAGCCTACTTCCGTGTACACCAAAACGTAAATCTGAAATCCTAATTAAGTTGCTATCAATGGAGCTCTTGACATGTGTGATACCCTCAACACCAGATATTCATAGCATGAGACTGATTAAAAAGAAGTATAAAGTTCAAGATCATAAGCAGAATGTCTCTGTAAACCCCTTAAGTTTATTATTGACAATGTTATTCTCCACTCCCAAATAAAATATCTTTGGATATATCTTCTTTTAAAATACTAATTTGAATCTATAGCCAGATGCTCTTGTTATACTAAAAATTGTTATAATAGATTTTTTTTCATAAAATTTAGTAATTATATAATGTATCTTCATCTTCGCGTTATACTCCACTTTTATCACAACGCTTTTATATAAGCAATTAATTTCTTTACTTTATAGATGAGAAAACCTGATATAGAGGTAACTTTTTAAACTCACAGACAGTTAAGAACAAATTCAGGATTAAATTTAGGTATTCCAGCTCTCTTCCTTTCCCAAATTCCTATTTTTAGAAAACTCCAGCAGAGTATGTGTGCTCTCATTCTTACAATTCTGTGTCATTTAGACCTTCCTAGCAAAACATGATCTAAGATGAGTAAAAATAGAAATAAACACAATAAATCAACTGATTTAAAATGAAAACTTATTAAAGTGATAGGAACAAAGATATTATGTGGCTTTAAATATAACTAAACTGAAATATTTTCTTTCTGAACATATCTAATAAAGTCAATGATCAGAAAGGCACTCAAATACTTTAATGCAGAAACAAAAAATTAAGATACCCCAAAAATCTCCTAATAACATTCATATATTAAAAAAGACAGATGTGTAACTGAAAATATCAAAAATTATGATCCACTATATAACATCTAATCCCATCTAATCTCCCCCCAAACGAAAAAGCTTGCTTAAAACTGTTGATTTATTACTATCTCTCAAATTCTTATCCATAAAATCCTTCAAAATATTCTTAGTCTTCATTTTGCTTTTAATAATTTAAAATTCAATCATTATTGCACAGTGATTATATGCAATTTTACATCCCATTAACCCTGCTTTGTTTTAATTATAAAGATCCTTTGTTAGATTCCTTTAAATGATCCAGTTTATAATTTCAGGTTATCCTAGGGAGCACTTTAATTCAGCTGCACATTCATCAACTGTTTATGTCCTGTTAATTGTTGACAACTGCACAATTGCATTCTCTAGCTATGATTGATGAATTGCATTCACAAGTTTACCTATTAAGTAGAATAAGTATTTATAACAATTTCCACTTAAAGGATTGTTATCTTTATCCCCAAAAGGATAAATTAAAAATGGATAGGCTGATAGTAAACAACAGCAAATATTCTAGTAATGAGCACACGCTTATTCTAAGACATGTTTATGACAAAAGTATACAGAGGAACATGTATTTAAGGGCAGTTTGATTAGGCATTCATTTGACTGGATTTAAGCAGCAGTTCTTAAGTATTACCACCTTTTGAAAAGTTATTGCTAGAGGGAGTAGGGAATCTACTGATATCTTAATACTTGAGAGCTAAAAACATGCCGATATGACATTTGTTAAAAATAAGCATTTCTTCAACATGCAATAATATTTGCTCTTACTATCCAATGCTACTGTAAGCAAAAATAGTTTGTGAGAATTTTCCACTTCAAAAAAAAAAAAAATTGAGAAAATAAGAAGTGGCAGAACAGGTTTCCATATTACCATCCAAAAACATGAGCTTACTATAATTACTCAGTTTATTACTGTGCAATATTCATTGTATAATAATGCGCAGTAGATGACCTACTTAGATGAGCCCTATTATTGTGTAAACTCATACACTACTTCGTAGCAAGCAGAACTTCCAATTAAAAGGGCTACACTTCCAACTGGTATATTGTAATGTAATTTCAGTGCCTGCAATGAATCTAAGGGAATTTGCTTCAACCAAAAATCTGATACAAAGGTATCAGATTCCTATTTGCCAGATGTTCCCATATTCCTATTCTCTGATGTTTTCCAGTCTTCTTTTGAAATGAATGCACGGCTTCACCACTGAAATAACAGCTAGACAAAAAAATATGCTATTGTAATAAAGAGACCATTTCAACAATAGAAGATTTGGTATTTCAGTATTGGCAACGACATACCTTCAGTAAAAAAATAAATCACACATAAAACAACAAAATCTCTTCAATGGGCATATTACTATGAATATTTTTATTCAACTGCACATATCAAGAAATCTAGATTTAAATGGATCTAATTTCCTGGCCAATAAAAGTGACACACATGACACGAGTGGCTATATTTGTCTTTGGCATTCCATTACCAGCAAGGGCAAAGAGTGCCCCATTATTGCCCAGCTATCTGGCTGAAAGTACTGACAAACATTGCACAAAGTAGAAGATATAAATAGATACAGCATTAAAATTACTTGAGGATTGATAATAAAGCATCTTAAGAATTGGCAAAAGTAAGGCAGCTCTTATTAAACGTGATTTTGTGTGTTACACAAGACTTAAATTGGACCAGAAATTCTAGATAAAACTATTCCTTATGAACTGATAGTATAAAGAAGGGCATCTGTACAATGAATGCTGTGCTCCTAAAACAGATGGAGCAGCAGATGGATTTACAGATTGGGTTCCCTAGACTCTCTGGGTAAAACAACCTTGCTGCTCAGTAAGATGGTGGTTCAACTCTCAAATAAACCCAGACCCATATACAGCTCACAGGGGCTTTATTTTCTTTTGTTGATAAACAAAAATTTAAGAATTTATACATTTCCAAGTTAAATATTTGTTACACAAAGCACCTAAACAATAAATATCTTAATTAAAATGGCCTTTTCACAATCTTTTTGGAACAGATGGTGAGGAAGTATTATCACCCAATGGAATAAAATGCAAAATGACTACTTGTTCAAAAGCTTTAAAATTAATTACCTTCCTTCATTGATGAGCTCAATAAATGCAAGTCCTGCATTCTTCTGAATAGAATTTTGCCATTCCTAAGAAGATAAAACATAACATGATCAAAAATCAAGGATTTTAAACAGAGTTTCTGAAAGCAACCAGGCCAACGCCTAAGGAGCTTGAATTTAGCTTGAACTTCTTAATTTAATGCTGTTCTTTCCTTTGTAATTCATTCTGATTTTCAAATTAACTTTAGGTAGTCATGTTTTCTATATCTCCCTTCAAGCAATCTTTATTCTCCTTGTCTGGAGTAAATAAACCTTGTTTCATACTGTTGCTTGAGTATATTAGGTGCAACAAAGTATGGTGGTATCAGTTTCTTCATCACTTTACTCCACTGTTACGCTGTTTACATTTGAACGTATAAGCAGGCAATAATTTGTGTACCATCCATTCACCCTTGAGTTCACACTTTGTTTTTTCCATTTTGAGTGAAAGCAAAAATAGTAGCTAATAACAAATTGAGATTTTAAAATTCTTTTAATATTAACACAGATTTCCAAGATCAACTTTTGAAACTGATTTAAACCATATAATAGATATTAAATGATAACAGCTTTTACTTCATACACCACTGGATTAAAGAGAAAATGCTCAATCTATCATTAACAGCTTTTTGCCATACACCCCACCACCTCTATCCCACAAATAGGCTTTTGACAGTTGAGATAAAAAACGTCAGCACATCTCTCCAGCAAGTAAAGATAACTTTTTTGGGGATAATTCCTTACAACTTTTCTTTAAGTGTAATAAGCCCTTCCTTTTGATCACTCAGAAGAAATCAAAATATATTTGCTAGCTTACAGTTCAGAAAGAAATTTCCTAGTCTAAGTCTTCAGGCTATAAGCAAAAATGGGTAGAGAGAGTTTCAGTTACAGAACTGTTCTATTTTACACTTCCTTTTTCCAGGCCTAAAAATTCAGGCAGAAATTCCCAATGCTTTTTTCCTGGCTTGAGCAGTAAAACTGCTTTGCACAGGGTTAGCAAATTTTTTTCAAAGAACAGTTGTGAAAACTAGTCACTAACCAGCATGTTTCTTGTTGCTGAGCAGATGGAAATTCGGAGATTTGGCCAAGTCACGTATCTTTGAAAAACGTAACCATATTCTTGTAATCATGACAGGATTTATGACAGGTAAACTCTAAAACACCTAAATAATGAGCATATTCTTAACCTATTACTCATCAGAAATCTTGATTAGGAAAGATGGAGTATCAGCACTCATGCCACTAGCTTGTGGGTTAGGAAATCCTTATATCAGATCCGTCGTTAAGTGCTGCTGATTTTGTTTTTTTCTAAATCCAGTAACTGAGGCAAGCCTAATTGGAAGCAATTAAGTCTCCTTGGTATAGCACAAAGTCATTCTGATTGATAGACAAAGAAGGAAAGGATTCAATTGCCTAAACATAGGTGTGTAGTGCCAATCTAAGCACGTTCAGTTATTCTATCTACCTGTGTCTGGAGGAGATCAAGGGATTCCTGCAAGTCTTTTATCAGATCTTTCTGTCTCACGCAAAAGCCTCAGCCACTTCAAGACATCCAAAATACCTAACTGGATTTTAGGTGACATATCTCAGCCTCAAATGACATCAGATGTGGAAGCAAATGAATCTCTCCCTGTGTCTCCATAGGTGGAAAATCTCACCAATTTAGCCAAATTAGTTCTTCGCGATAAAGGTGTGTGAGACTCCATCTGTTTGTTATCTACCAAAACCTAGTGGAAAAAATAACAGTGCAGAGCCACAAAGAAGCCAGGACTCCTTATTCATGCGTTGCTTCACTAAGAACTCACTATATACCCCAACCCTCCATTGCTGACCCACAAATAAGATAACATTATTAATGCTACAATTTCTCCTCAATTTTAGGCAGATTTTCCTGTAACAGATTTATGATCCTGCGATGCTAACTAAACCTATGAAGAGATATCTGATTTTCTTTTTTCCTTGTTTCTTTCTAAAGAGCCAAACACTTCACTTTTTAAAAAAGTGAAATACTTGGAGGGATTGGAAATGCTATCATTAAAGTTGCCTTTGCAATCCAAATTCAGATCACTGCATGCATTTTAAGAACTGGGTTAAGACTTGCAGCTATGTGCTCACAGACCGCGAAGCAATTTGATTATATTGTCTTAGTTTCCACAAAAAGTCTGCATAGCCCTCAAGATGTAAGAAACTCTTCATTAAACTCATTCACTGAAATTAATGCATGCAGGGATGGGTGCCTGGAAAATTTATGCTATAGGCAAGTAGAATCATAGTGTGGACAGTTAGTTATTAGCAGCTAACTGCCTGAATACTGCACTACAATACATTTTGGTATATCATGTATCCTGCATCTTCTGAGCCTTAAAACAAGAGCTGTGAGACTCTGCTGTGCATCAAAATTGCTGATGCCAACTACATGCAGAAGTAACGGAAGCCTTTGCCAAAAGTCTGTACCAGGAAATTTCTTCTACAGCAGTAGATTGTCCTTTCTTCCCTTAGGAAAACGCTCACGTTTCTTAGGGCAGTGGGGAAGAGGAATTCCTCTTGATCACAAGCACAGTATAGAAGACTTAGGCAGAGAGACATGTTTGAAAAATGTCTAACACATACAATGCTGAAGAACAACACTTACCACTTCTTTGTACTAAAATTAGGAGGAGGATATTAAATTTCATTTTTAATTTTATTGTTGTTGAAAGAAAATCCAAAATTGTCTTTCTTCACAATAACTAACCATTATAACTTTAGAGACTGAATTAAATTACTGTCCAGTATGGGTGTGCGCTAAATACTGTTATGCAAATTTCCATAGAAAATATACAAAAAGATTAGAATTCTGACAAAACAAAACAAAACGAAACAAAACAAAATCAGACCTAACTTATCCTCCTCCTCTTTTCTGATATTGTTGCTTGAAAAGCACCACTGCATCCAGAAAGTACCAATACAGATTCCCTGACAGAAAGTTCAGAGTGAATCCAGTTATGAAACTGTCCATGCAGAGGAGGAGAGGAGACGAATAAAACTAGGATGGCAGTAAAAGGCTTAAACTCCTAAATAATGAACCATAACTCAGTACAGATATTACTTCAGACTTAGTTTTGTTTTTTCAATCCATGATTTGTATTTTATTATTGTCTGATATTCTTACAATTTCTGGTTTCTATATGATTGTACTTTTCTAGTTTATTTCTTTAAGATTCTCCAGCCTCTATTACAATAAAATGAAGGCCTGACAATATTTGCAAATTTAATCTTCCTGATTTGTGTAGCATGTTAAACTGAGACCAGAAAAATTGCATAGACAAAAAATAATAGTGAAAGAACAAAAACACCCAGAGAACTAAGCATGGCAAGCTAAGAACCCTTTTTCAATTTATATGGCATTTCTTTCCAAATCAACCTTTGTTTACAATCTGTTTTCAGATCTATATTCATGGTGATGAGCAAGAAAAGCTTTTTTAAAAAATTTTGTGATACTATTTAAAACTAAATAATTAATTTGACAGGAAATATCTTTATACAAGAAAGAATAGTCATCCTTAGGGTTTTCATAATCTATATGAGAGCTCTCACCCTTTTCAATTTCTGTAAGGAAGTCTAAAATTGCTTCAAAATTCACAAGTTTTTCAACAAACTGCAGTTAGCGAGGAGACAGATTCATGGTAACCCTACATCCTACAACTCTCCTTCCACTACAACAGTTACAGTCCTAAGCAATCTTAGGTCCTCTGGAACTTCTCTTCTCCATGTCTTACACTTACCTGAGTATTTTTTCCTTCTTTTTGTCTTATTGAATCCTTATTGAATTTTCTAGCCTTAGATATTAAGAAATCAGTTAATACTTCAGTTCTTCAATTACTGTATTTTAATCATAATTTATTGACAAAGATGTAGTTTTATAATATTGATTCTCTTGTTTCTGGATCCTTGAATATGTTTGGAGAAAATTCTTGTATGCATTCAACCTTTCACTAGCACAAGGCAGAGGAAACTTTACAGAAATGTAAACTCACAACATGCATGTATTTTTCCTTGGGTTTGAATTCCATGTTGTGAAGTTGCTTCCTAAAATTACCAATAATTTGATTTGCTTTGTTTAAGTGGAAAGATTCAGATGAAATGTTATGAGACTGAAGAATTTTTTCTGTATGGCAAAAAAAATCATTAGAAGTAGGCAGGAGCAGAAAATTGAACTGAGTTGAAGATACAGCCTTATAAAATTTTAAGCAGATTGTACAGTTTTAAGGTTAATAGGACTGTTCCTTCCATTTCTAGGAGAACTGAGCTAAGGAAATTGGAGTCTTAAAACCTCCCATTACTGTTTGGAATGAAGAATCAGACCTAAGCATTCCAATTTTATTGCCTTTAGTTCACCTCCCCTTCTCCCCCACCCCTATTCACTCACTTATACTCTACTGATAGATTAGAAATAACATGTATTTTTGGTCTACTCTTTTAAGTAAATTTGAGGTCAATTTTAGGATTCTATGATAGGTCGTCCTTTTTGAGAAATGACTATTTCCATAATAAGGAAGTTGCAGAATGACTGACGACATTGTCCTGGAAGGCAAATCTCCAGTATTGGAATCCACTGGGCTTCTGGCCAAATCACAGAACAGAAAAAGAATGTGAAACTTTCATAACACAATTTATGTGAACATGACTTTAAAAATGCAGCAAAGTTTAGAAAGTTTTAGATTTCACTTTCACACGGCTAAAGCCTTATTTTTTTCTTTGTTATCTTGACTTGGAGTAATGTGTTAATCTTCTTTCTTGGAAACGTACAGACCCATTGCCCTTCAGATCACCTGCAATAATTACTCAATTTTTCTCCAAAATGAAGTTAAATGCGCTCAGAGGAACATTTCATTGGTATTTGAAACAAAAAGAGAAAAAAATACCCAAATTGCAAAAACATTTACATTGTCCACAACACTAGAAAAAAGGGCAAATTTATTTTGGCCATATAATATTAACCTTAACTGTTTTGTAGAAATTCTGGAATATCTCCGTAACTTCTCAAGTTTACTTCATGATAGGAAAAG